CTCTATGGGTTGGAGTTCCAGTTCATGGGACCGGCCAATTTTACTAAGCTCAGGCGCGCAGCTACTACGGCCTTGGTTGGCCCGTGGCACAATGCTTCGACGATCGTGTCGTGTGCGGCAGTGTCCTCATACTTGGTTGATCCGCTTCTGTGTGTGGTCATTAATATGCTGCGAGCACTCCAACGATGGTATTGGAAGTCGCCCGATCGCGTGATGGCCTGTGAACGTGTCCATGCCTTTGATGGTGATCGTGCTATTGGCTCGGCATCGTCGTGTGCCTTGTATCTTCGTGAAGTTGGGCTCACACTGGGTCCCACAGGATTGGTCAGTGGTACGGCCGGCGTCAATTATCGCATCCAGTGACTGAACTTGTACGTTCCCTTCACTATGTGTGGACCTGTCGCATCATGCAAGGTGTTGGTAGCCGAAAAGGAATTCCGACTCAAGCACCCTTTGACTTACATACCACCCGTGAAGCTTTCAAAGCGTTGCCACGCCATGTGCAGAAAAGTGCAGTCATGAATGTCACGGGTGTCGCTGTGAGTGGCGCCCACAAATTTCACAAATGGGGACCACAGTGGGCTGATCAGTACTGTGCTCTGTGTCAAAGCCATGACACTACGCAACACAGAGTGTTCGAATGCCCAATTGGTGACGCATGCAGAACTAGCCATCCTGATACTGTCACTTGGCTCCGTGACCAGAGACCCGAATGGACACACCTTGCGGTGGCTCACCAATGTCCAGCAGAACCCATCCTACGTGCTGTCTATCAAGGCAGAGAGTTGCCTCAGCTTGATCCGCCACCATGTAGAGATGTGGTATGTTGGACGTTCTACACTGATGGAACGTGCCAATCGCCTGATATACCGGCAGCCAGCCGTGCAGCTTGGGGCGTGATTCAAGATGTGTATCAAAGTGATGACGATCGCCTTCATGTCGCCACAGGCCCGGGCAATGGGACCGCCATCCCCGATGGATTGCTGTGTGCTGCGTGCGGACCATGCCCCGGACACCAATCACCGCTACGTGCCGAACTATGTGCAGTCTGGGCGGCTATGCAACTTGTTCATGCGCAGGACTCCGACTTGCCTGTGAACATTCACACGGATTGCCAGGCGGCCGTTGACTTAGTGAAACGTCTTCACTGCTGGAAGTCACTAGGCTATTCGGCCCTGCCAGAACCATGTATGAACCATGATCTCGCGCTGGCTATCTGGCCGCAGGATACGTTGCTGTACATAAGATCAAAGCGCATCGTGACTCCGCCACGGCTGTCAGTACACTAGACTGGTGGGGCATCACTGCCAACCACCTAGCAGACAGACTCGCAAATACTGCGCTTAGTACAGAGACACCTGCTGTGGTGACCCTGGCTGATACAATCGCTGCCCATAAACGGCAAGAACGTGCCCAGCTTCAGCAAGCCTTGAATTTCCTGGTTGAACTTGCCTTGGTACGCAAAGAAGCCATTGAGGCGCATGAGAAAGCCAACAGTGAACCTACTGATCCAAATCCTGGTCAGGCCGAACTTGGTACTGGGCATGAACCGCGCCCAATTCCACGTGAGATGGCTGCCCTGCGGCACCTCGGCGCCTGGCTCCCGACGACGCCTCGCATCATACCCTTCACTGAACTTACTCCACAGCAAGCTGTCTGCTGTAACGTTGGTGGACAAATTGCAGATCTTGTGTGGCAGTGGCTCCATACCACACAATGGCCGGATGGTCCCTCAGCCCCACATGATTGGGGAGTCAGTTGGTTGGAGCTCCTTTTCAACTTCTATCTGTGTACTGGGCAACGATTTCCGTTCCGGATTGAGACGGTTCAGGGTCGTAAGACGCAAATCCAGCAGTATGTCCCATTTGACTCCAATGAGGCGGTCGCGCGTCCCCTGCTATTTCGGGCGCTGGAAGAGCAGATTTCTCACTTGAGAATGACCGTGGCGCACCTGCAGAACGTCACTACGTATAATTTGACGCCTGTAGATCTGACACCATCCTCGGTGTCGCCCACATCTCTTCGGGTTCTGGGGTTCTACCGTGCTCGCCAAGGATTCGCCGCCCGACCAGGCCTGGCCCACGCATGCTTGAAGAAGCAGGGATATCCGACCAATCTCAATTTTGTCATTGACATGCCCCCTGGGCCCTATGACTTGCATTGTGACCGCGACTTTAATGATAAAGACAAGAATTCGCAGAGCCGCAGGGGTATACGTGACAGGTTGCGACGTGCATTGCTGAAGGCCAGATAGGCCATCAGTTTTGTGCAACATCTCATCTTGCTCATGCACGCTGGTGTGGCATATTCGCATGCCATCACAGCTCAGGTTGAGCTGTACGTTTATAATGGCTTCCTTGCTGCATAGCGATCGAATCTTTTCACCCACTTTTCTGAAAGGATGTGTGATGATCCTTTCCGTTTTGACGGGAGGTCTGTTCACAATCGGACATTTTCCGCCGGAGTGGCGCCTCTTCAGACCCGCTTTTTTGGGGTGGTTTTGTTCCCCCTGTTGCGGTTTTTGGGTTCCTCCTTGTTGACGGGCTTTTCTTGCCTCGCGGGGCTTTTCCGATCGGCTGGTGGCTCGTCTTATTCGACCACCTTCGTCTCACCATTTCAGTGTCAGGCTCACGCTACGGCCGGGGCTTGATGCAGCGGCCAAACAGTGCCGCATTGCAAAAAAGGCAAAAAAAAGTGCCCGCCGACTGCTGCACAGGCGCGCCGGTGACGCCCGCGTAGTCGTTGTCGGCCGCGCTGACGTACATCACCAGGTTGGAGGCCGTGCCCAAGGAGTAGCGTCTCCCCGGCGTCAGGGTGTTCCAGGCGTAGCCCTCCAGCTCGAAGGTTCCACGAAAAAATTGCACAGCGTGGTGAGTGTGGGCTCCAGCAGCACCTTGCCCAGGGTGGCCAGCGTGACTTGGCCGGAACTCGTGCTTCAGCAGCAGGGCCGTCGTGTCTGCCTTGACCTCCGTCGTCTTGCCGGCCTCCAGGGTTGCGTCCAGGATCTGGAGGCCGTAGACGTCCACCGTTCCTGCCGTCCCGGCACCTGCAAGTGCGCCCCCAAATGACGGCGAAGTGCATCTTAGCCGTGCCCCAGGCGCCCTGCTCGCCCACGCAGCTGCCGCACAGGGGGTCGTAAAAAGACGTTGTCGGCCTCGGACATGTACACCACGAAGTTGGAGGCCGTGCCGAGCCAGTACCGGCAGGCGAAGAGGAGCTCTCGGCCGGGCGTCAAGCTGTAGGTGCGCACGATGTTCCAGGGGTTCACTGCCGAGGGTGTAGCCGTCCACGCTCGCTGCGCCCACAGTGTGGGGTGGCCAGGACCACGCTGCAGCCGCTGCTGGGACGAACCGTCCAGTTTGCCAGGGAGACGTCCGTGGGGCCCAGGATCTGCTCGCCGATGGCGGCCACCACCTCGTCGGCCCCTCCATCGTCCGGAAAGCGCACTGATATCTCCAGGGCCGAGGCTGCCTCCGCGACTCCGAGCTTCCCGAGCAGGGCGGCTGCGACGCTCGAGGCCGTCGCCGTGTCCTGGTTGGCGGCTGAGCGGACGCCACCAGCGCCGAGGTGATCCTGGTCCGGGCCCGTCCGGTAGGCCAGCAGCGCGCCCGCGATGGCTGCCTGCGTCTGCGTGTCCTGCGCGCTTGCCGTGCGGTAGTCGGCCAACTGGGCGTCCACTTGCGCCGAGGTGTAGTAGGCCAGCAGCGCAGCCGAAACGGCGCTGGTCGTCTCCGCGTCCTGTGCCGCCCTGTTCGGTAGTCGACCAACAGCGCGTCCACTTGCGCCGAGGTGTAGGAGGCCAGCAGCGCAGCCGCGAGGGCCGCGTCCGCCGCCGCGATGGAGTAGCAGTCGGATGCTCAGCGTGTCGTCGCCGTTGGCCAGCGCAGCCGAGAGAGGAGCCTCCAGATGCAGGTTGCGAACGACGCTGCTTCCGCGAACGAGCTCCCAAGTCGTGAAGCCCGCCCAGGCCGCCGCGTTAACAACTCCGCCGCTGCCGGAAAGCTGCAGGGCGGCGAGCTCCGCGAGGATTGCGTCGAGGGCGCTCTGGAGCGTGGTCTCGCTGGCTGAGAGCGCGGCGTTCGTGCATTGTGAAAAAACTCTTGGTGCAGATCGCTAAATGGCTGCATTCAAACCAGCTTGCATCTTGATGCTTTGCAGGTCTTGTTTGCCTGGACGCTGAACTGCCTCAACTCAAAACTGCTGAATCATGAAACCCACACGTAGAGGTCCTGGGTCCCATTGCGTAGCAGTTCCAGCCAATGGCGCATGCGTACCATTGTTTGATTGTTTGATCGGTGCCTCATGATCACTCTTAGGATCTGATGCACCAACTTCAACTTACATTTCTTTTTCTTCTTGTTGTTTTTCTCCGGACACCATTCTGTCGTGCTTCTTTTTGCGTTCTATGCAAAGCCACAAGTTCTTTGCGTTCAGCTCTATTGTCTGGGGATCTGCAAATTGATCTCACAAAAAATTGTCATTCGTTCTTTCAGACATGGATATGTGGCTGCAAATGGAATGTATCAGGACGCGTCACGAGATCCGTGTGAGGTCAATGGCATTACAACTGAGGATTTGCTTGTTGTTCCTTGTCCATTTTGCTCGCTATTTTGATTCTGTATTGTGTACTTGAAGAGTGGAAAGGAACATGTCGTGAATCAACCACTATCAATACACATCAACAACTGCACTTCACTTTCATTCAATTCGCCCAACATATATGCTAGTGCATCAATCTTATAGCAAACCATGATATGGTGAAGTGCCCTTGTTGACTTGTGAAGGCTGACCGTGAACTAGTGTTTGTCAAGATGATGTGATTTGTTGCGCGGCTTGGGGCACAAAGCGCGTTGCAGCGCAGAGCCTGTGGCAGTTGCAATGCCAAGATGGTATGCGACAATCATAGTGATACTTTTGCGTATATTCATTTTTTCATGGCTATCTCATTGGCAACATGAAGCAGGTAAGTCAAGTAAGCACAACATGTTCAATCGGGTTGGTAGCTTTTGTACTAGTTTTATTGCTTTTAGAAGCGCTTGGCCTGCATTTGACAGCCTTGCGCTGCTGTGACAGCGCACCGGGAGGCCGCCTGTGTCTCTTTTGCCGGTGTGTCAAGTTTGCAGTAGGTTGTGCAGGGCTTTGCTGTGCGCACATACAGCTTGCCTCAGTGGATATGTACGTGTTGCTGTGAGGCATGCTGAGCCAGCGGCTCCTTCCAGCTGCCCCAACACCATCTGCTGCAGCAAAGGCATGCAACGTGTTCAGAGCACTGCTGACTTTGCCGCGTTTCCTGCCAGGCCCTGCTGGAGCCCGTGGTCGAAGGGAATCTCGGCTGTGAGAGTCGTCAGGTGATAGCTGTTCTCTCACCTGCGGTGTTGAGTGTTTTCCGTCGAACCATCGGCTTGAACTTTGATTCGTTTGATTCGAGATGACTACATTTGCCATGCCTTTGTGCACAGCGAAGGATTCGCCTTGGTGGCCTTGTGGAAATACACAGCTTATCGGGTGTCGAGCTGCAGGCCGCTGACTGCCAGAGTCCACAAGGTATTTGTTTCAACAGGGTCCCATGACGCTATCAGCAAGTTGCTGTCTGCAGTTGGTGCTCGTTAAGCACAATCTGACACCAGAGGCGTTCAGCGAAGATGTGAACGGCTCCGTTGGTCAGGCTTGGGGACACTTTGTGACGATCTATGCATTGTGGCTGCGTTGCTTGAATATGGGCAACCCTCTTCCAGGCGGTCAGCTTTGACAGCGGTTCTGGCAAGTTCCATGTGTACCTCAGCTGCGGGGCAGTCGCGGCCACAGTTGCAAGAGTTTGAGTCTGCGCGGGCCTCAGTAGTTGCCAATATCATTGCCCAAGCCAAGGCCGGCCATTTCAGTCCACACAACGTCCGACCAGCAGAGGCCAGGAAGACATTGTCCGTCATCAGAATGATGTATTGCTTGATTTGAATCCTGCAGGCTCCCAAGAGGCCAGGCGAAGGAGGTGCTTTGGACAGCTTTGATGTGGCGAGCTCAGTTTGCTACTGGTTTTCAGGCTGTTGTTTTGCTCTTCCTGCGGTTTCACTGTTGAGGTCCTTGTCGGCCCTCGGACGGATGGCAAGATTTTGGGTGGCGAGATCTCCACTTGCCTCATGGAGTGCTCTTGGCATGATTCCGTTTTGCCTGATTATGTGTCAAGCTTACGTACGCAAACGTGGAAGTCAGCTGCACTTCATATCCCTGCATGACAGGAAAGGCTTTTGCGTATTGCGAATATGCCAGAGCCGTGCTCTGAGCAAACAGCTTTTAGAGTGCAGCAACGTCCAGGCAGTGTGCCGTTGCCTCTTTACTTCACCTGTGAGGCGCACGTCTCGCCAATCAGTCTTGGACACGAATGAAGGCAGGAAGCATATATATATAATATACCATACAGTAGAATTGAGAAGCCCCACTAGCAGGTTGAAGGTGACAGCATGTGGTTTTGCTGGTGAGAACCAACATTTCTTTGTTGCATTTTGCTTGGCTGTTAGGACTTTAACTTTTTGCTAACTCTGGGTTTTCCATTAAACCACTAAACGTTAAACTTTTAGCAGGGGTGCAGAAAGCAACCGAGATTTGCTATGGCTTTACTCTGTGATTCAGCAATGCTTTATTAGTGGCAACAAGGCTTCTTAGTTGTTGCGAATCCGGATACTTTCTCGACTTTTTGTGTGCTTCACAGGGCCTGCACCTTGCATTTGTTTGTATCATGGCCGCAGGACATGAGCGAAACACAAAGGTTGCAGGGAGCTTGTACGGTGCAGATCGTTTGAGCTGCATGCACAACGGAACACACGCACACACACACACAAACAAATGGGTTAGTTTGTGCAAATCAGGTCGCGCTTCCCTGAAGAAGTGGAACAAGGATACTTGGGTCAGAGTCTCATCATCAATCAGGCCGTGCATGTGTATTGAGGAGATGTATGACACAGACCTCATGTGTCTTCATATCTTTGCGCTGCTGCTTGCTGGCCGACCCGTGTTCGCTTCTCTTTCCCGTTTTCGAGGCTTTGGTTGCCGCGGCAAGGTAGCTTGGCTGGACACCGCTGGAGAGCTAGACCAGGAAAAAGTGCATGTGGGCGGGGCATGAAAGCTGCAAGTAGGGTGTGCCGCAGGATTCAGCCATACAGAGCAACAATGCGAACCTTTCTTATCTTGCGCAGGTTGGGTGCGAGTTGAAAATGCAGCGATGCCTTTGCCGTGCCCGCTTCGCTGTGCCAGTCCATTCAGCCTTATGCGGGTGACGTGCTGGACGGCCAGCTGGACTCGCGAACTCCTGGACTGGCCGGGACTAGTTTTCGTTCTCCTTTGCGCTTTCCAGTGACACTGACGGTGTTTTCACAAGCAGCAAGGTCTGCCTTACCATCGACGGTTCTGGTGATGCGGACTGCCCGTGTCCAGAGGAGGGGCACAAAGATGCGTGTAAATCCGTCTTTCTGCTGCTTTGTATTCGCAAGGCGACTGATGAGTCCTTGGGTGTTTTTCTGCAAACCTGGAGGTTGGGCTGCACTTGTGGCCGTTTTTGGTTGGAGTTGGGCAAATACAGATTCTTGTCAAGGCGAACTTTGGGCAGGGCTGTGCATTTCATGGGGCCGGAGCCTCATGAGACTTGATTGGATGATGCTCTGGTTGCAATATCTCAGGCCTTATCCTGCCGACGTGGAGCTCGACGCGAAGGAGACTGTGAAGGCCACAAAGGTGCGAACTTTGCTTGGATGTGTATTTCGGACACACTTGCCTGAATGCTTCTGTTGCGAGCACATGACCCACTTTGGCAATTGTTTGATCAAGTCATTCTAATGTGTAGTTTCAGGAATCTAGGAGATCTGGTGCCTGTGCATTGCAGGTTCCAACTCTGAGGGAAAACGTGAAAATCCGAGCTGTGCCCAACACAATTCTGCCGGGCTCAAAGACCTCTCAGAGCTTTGCTCCATGCCGCTGGAGTGTTCGGGAATGGGTCTATTCGTAGTCTTGAGGCTGTTTCGTCCAGACGTCTATGACTACACTTGCATGCGTCTTAGTGTTGACTGCTGCGTTGAGAGAGAGCGAGAGAGAGAGAGAGGAAGCGACATCATGAACTTCAGGTGCTGCACCAAAGAACACGCTGATGCTCATCACTAACTACTTGGCTGCAGTTCCTGACATGGTGAGCCTTCGAGCTGTTTACATTACTTCACCTTTGCAGATGAACGGCGCCGCAGGTATTTGGAAACATACAAGGTGACACAGACTGGCTTTTGAAGGAAGAGGGCCCTCCTCCACCAGCTGGGGAGGAGCACATTCATGCAGCCTTCTCAGCCAGCGACTGTTTACTTGGGGTACGATGAGTGCTTCAGTGGACTGAGCGTGCAGAAAACTACTACAGGTTGTCAACTCGGTCACCCGGCTTCCTGGGAATGCTGACAGTCAGGGACCGAGTTCCACCAAATCGGGCAGCTTAGCGATCGGAGACTGCCCTTGAATACTCCGACCGCGAGCTTTTTGTAGGAGATGTCTGCTTCTGTGTTTGTTTCCGGACGAGCGGGGGCAAAATAATGTCTGAGGCTAATTTTACGGCAACCTTACATTTGGGGGTAGTTGCCACCTGCCCATGATTGAGGGGGATCTGCTAAACAAACAGCTGTGCGAACCACCTCGCCAGTCGGTGTCAACGGTCTTCAAACAGAGTCAAACTGGCGTCTGAATCTTGAAGAAACAACATTCTCCATATGTAGCTTGACCTTGAGCAGGTAACTAATTTTGTGAACCGCAAATCCATGGTTCTTCGCAGCTCGTCAGGAACTTCGCACACGGCCCAGGTCAGTGGCACAACTGGTCAGGGCTGCGAGCTGGCAACGACACCATTGTACAAGTTCCCATCACTCGCCACTTTCTCAGAGAGACCTTCTGTTGGATTGCAGTTTGCTCTCGCGCAAATCAAAGCTCTTAGGCTGGGATGTCAACGTATATTGGACCCCAGATGAAAATGTCTTTGAGCCTTGGCAAACCACGTGCAGCCCCTAGTTTGTCGCTCGAGCAGTGCTCCTACCATCAGTATGCAAACCTCACACAGTGCCTGTGCAAGGACTCGGCACCAGTCACTTTGCGAGGGGGCTGAGTTTTTTGACAACCGGTACTTTGAGATCTCCAACAATGAGGCAGGTTGCGAACTGGCAACATGGAATCAATTGTCACGGTGTTGTCAAGCTGTGCATGGACATCGTGGCAAGGCAAACGGCATGGATCCTGTGCAACGACTGGTCCTGGAATGTGCCCTGGCTTAGCCTGGCTTGTAGCGCTTGTGTTGAGCAAGAGCGGACAGCTTCAGAGTTGTTGCCTTGCACTGCCTCACTGCCCAATTGTACAGCTGTTACGTTTCCATTGCCACCATGCAACTTGTTTCTCATCAGTAGAGGTGGTGCCCAAAGCATGGCGATGGTTGGACTGACCAAGAAGGCCAGGGCAGTCAAGGGCACTCAACGGCACTCAACAGCATGTTTCGCGATTCGGTTCGGCGTGCAGAGCCTGTGTAGGAGTGCAATCGCAAATCGACGCATGCTGGATTCTGTGTGGGCAACGACAAGCTGGCCAGCACCTTGGGCGTCGCTTCTATCGCTTGACGGGCGATGCCGCCAATGCCTTGTGTTTTGCCGAAGGATTGGATGACGTGTGAGAAGGAAGTCACACCTTCCGGCACTGGAACGGTTCCAGCCTTTGCATTGCGGAACCATGTTGCTGGGTTTTTGACACTGAACTTCGAGCACAAGGTCCTTGCAATCATTGCCAATCGATTCAGCTTCGTCTTCAACCTGAAAGGCCCTTTCTAGGGACGGTTGAAGATGCAAAGCCAAAGTCTTGGCGCGTCAGGGCCGAACTTTGTCTGCGATACAGCGTGTTCGGCCTCTTTGACATCCACGTCCACAACTCAGCTGCAGCACTGTCGGCCTTGACTGCAAACTTGCGTTTGCAGGCACTGTGCCAGATTTATGATCAGTCCCTGGCTGAGCTTGCCTTGACTACCAGATGACTTTGTCACGGTGTTGACAGCTGAGGCAATCGTCAGTTTGATCCGCTGGATTTTTTCATTTCCATGGGTACGCCCTTCCAGTTTGGCTGCCAGAATCGATCAATTCAACCGTTGTGAAGGTCGTTCAAGGCTTGGAGTCAGGTGCCCACTTGTGCCTGTCGCCGGGCCCGTTCATTGGATGTTCGCAGTCCCACATGTCCGGGAGCCCACATGCCATGCCGAAAGAGATCGAACACTTTCAGAGATATTTAGAGGTCCAGCCCAAAGGGGCGATGCTTCACTTTCAACTCCTCCGCTGATGGACAGCACCTTAGTTCCTGTCAGCTGAGAGAGCTAGACGAGCTGCTGAAAGTGTAGTGCATTTGTAGGCTACTTGCGCGGCGAAGGTGTCAGTGCAGCCCTCACGTCGAGTCTTTTTCCCATGAGCATGTTGCATCGTTTTGAGGCGGCTTCATGATGAAATGGGGAGCTTTCACGCCGGAGCAAAGCATGTCCATTCTTCGCTCCACTGCGTGCGGGCAGGCCGAGAGCTGACTGTAGTCTGCAAGAGTGTTTTCTCTTTAAAGTTTGCAATAGCTTGTGCAGCTCTAGCATGATTGCGCTGTCGGGCTGTTAACCGTCAGTGCAAAACACACGTTTTAGCAATTGCTTTTCGTTTTAGCTTTTTCGTTTTGGCACTGCACACATGCCAGCCAAATGGTGCGCACACCCGCTCACACACACCCGCTCAGCATTGTATCCATACCAGCCAAATGGTAAGCCCACCCGCTCATGCACACCCAGCACTGACTCCATGCCAGCCAAATGGTAAGAACACCCGCTCGCGCACATGTCAGCCAAATGGTAAGCACGCCTGCTCACGGGCACCTGCCCAGCACTGTATCCATGCCGGCCAAATGGAAAGCACACCCACTCACGCGCGCCCGCTCAGCACTGAATCCATGCCAGCCAAGTGGTAAGCAATATACTCTTTTCAGCCGCTGGCGCATACCTTTTTCCAGATCTCATTGCGACGTGCTCAAAACACTGTTGCGAGCCATGCGCATGTTGGTCCATTGAAGTAACACATTTGCCTGATTGAAGTGACACCTTTGCCAACCTCTCGCAAAAAAGGTACCCTTTTCGCAGCCGAAGTGCTGCGCCTGCCAGCGAAGTCAGAACACGGACCCCCAAAGAAACACATGTTTTTTTTTGAGCGTGTTTTGGGGATGAAAACGAGAGGAAGCACTGAGCGAAACACAGATTTGGTCTAAACATGCCGGACGGTTTCCAGCCCGGCGGGATGATTGCACACCTGGACATAATCAATGTGGGGCACACTTGGTCAGCAATCAGCGACTTTTTGCTTGGAAGACAGCCTGAGAAAATGGTCAAAGCCCATCAGTGCTTTTATGTGTGTGAAAATGGCTCTGTGTGCAATGTCAGGATGGTCGCAGTGCGTCTCTGACGGCTCCAAATGGTCCTGCTCAAGAGGAAATGGTGACAAGAGTCGGATGCTGAAAGTGGCCCAGCGGGTGGGCAGTGGGGCTGGGGCAGTGGGGCAGTGGGGCAGTGGGCAGTGGACCAGTGGACCAGTGGGCAGTGAGCAGTGGGCAGTTGTGCCTGGCTGCTGAAGGCCATCAAGGAAGCCTTGATGACTCCGCCGGAATCCACTGCCATGGCCTCAGAGACTGTCTGGATTTGGATCTCGAGCGAATCAAAGTTACCGCTTTGAGGCATGGGAGTGCCACGGCACTGGCACATCCCTGGGCGATCCCATCGAGGTGCACATTTGTGGTAGGGGCCAGCTGGATGTTGTGCCCCTGCGAGGTTGGGGCAGTTCGCAAAGTGCAGATCAGAAAGCCTCGCACAGAGCCGTGTTGCTGGCCAGTGGTCACCATGAGAGAGGCATTTGCTTTTTTTGGCTGCATTGCTATAGTGCCAGGTTGATGATTGGCTCTGCAAAAACAAATATTGGCCACTTGGAAGGTGGTGCGGCCAGCAGCTTAGAAGTGGGGAACTGTATTGGCAAACACGTCCTGACATCGATCCAGGCTATGGGCGGCATAGTCAAGTGCATCATGCAATGCCAAAGCCCAAGCTCACACTACTTGGCTGACTGGTGAGATAGTTGCACTGTCTGTCAGTGCAATGCAGAGACGCCTGGCACCTACTTGACCAAAGCACGCCGGACGCTTTCAGGCAGACAGGCAAAGTGTGCACCTACTCAGCCAATCCGGCAGATTTGTCGCTCCACTCCAGCAAACAGGAACATGGAATGCAGCTATGCTTTGCGCATGGCAGGCACTTGAGGACATTGAATCCACATTTGGAGCACACCACTTTCGACGCGCATTTTGAGACCGAACCCTTGGCATTTGCTCGGGCCTTGGCAGGACATTGTGCCCGTGCGCAGATCCTGTTGCTGTGCAGAGCTGCTTGTTCATAGCCGAGGCCACCAACCAAGGAAACTCACAGGTTTCCTCATTCGGCTTCGGAGGGACGAACGCTCATGGAGTGTTCTGGGGCCAGAACGTGTCCATCAAGGAGGACCTGGCTGCTTCAATTACCACTGGCAGGGAAGGATACGGTTTTGCAAGTAGCAATGTGCACATATACACATGATACTCACTTAATTTTGCTGGACCGTTGGTGCTTGGACTGTTTGGGCACCAATCTGCTGTTGCCAAGATGGATGGCCGAGCCCAATGTTGGGAGGGGGGTGGGGTAGCGTGCGAAAATTGCGAACGGGCTTCACCTGACCTATGTTGACTTGAGGCAAAGGGCACCAGTTTTCCACACGTGAAGATCAATTTGCGGCAACATGCGACGCGTTGCAGAGAGTCCTCGCTAGCGACAATTTTTCAAAGTGGCACAAAGTCACTTGGCACAAGCCTGCTGCACTTTCGCGCCTTGGCTCCATACCATAGGGGCTACTTCCTCGCGGCCTCTATTTCAAGGACATGCTCCTCGTGCTCTCCTCCCCTTTGGCTCCTTCTGAGCACGCATGTTTTCTTAGATGCATTTTATTCGCCTCACCCTGTACCTAATGCAGTATCCCATTTGTTGCTTTTTTCCGCTTCTACACACCAACACGCCCACGCACCCACGCACTCAAACACACCCAAGCGCACCCAAACGCAACCACAAACTCACACACACACACACGCACGCGTCGAGTGCCAAGCGTGCAAAAGCAACGTCAAGCGCAATCGAGTCGAGCTGGCTTCCCTCTAGCTGCTTAGCCTGCTGAAACCATGAGCACTTCTGCTGAACTGGACATGCTCCCTTGCTGCACTGTATGATGTTCATATACACCCCACTGTGCCTGAACATATTTGACTCCACAGCTTTGATTCAGCAGCCGCATTTTCATTCAGTAATTGTAAACGCTCCAGCCGAGCGGGGGGGTTGGACTTGGTCAGACATACCGTGTGTGTGTGCTGGCTTTGGGCTGTGTGTGGCGGGTTGCTGGTTGCTGCTGGAATGGGTAGCCTCTGTGGGTTGTTGGTTGAGCTGGGCTTGCTGGGGCTAGGCCTGAGGCGCGTCAGACAGGCCTGGCCAGCAGGAGGACATGCTTTTCGGACCAAAAACTAGTTTAGCGTTATGCCATTTGTGAGCTGGGTTTGCTGGGGCTATTCGTGAGTCTTAGACACGTCGGACAGGCCTGGCCAGCAGGAGGTCATGCTTTTCGGACCAGCTTAGCGCTACCATTTGTTGGGGTTGCTGGTTGAGCTGGGCTTGCTGGGGCTAGACCTGCCAGTCTTCCAAAAAACTAGTTTTTTGCAGGATCTTAGGGTCAGCAGACATGGGTAGGGGGTCGGGGCGGGGTAGGCGTAAGGCCAGTCTCAGACACGTCAGACAGGCCTGGCCAGCAGGAGGTCATGCTTTTTTCGGACCAAAAAATGGTATTTGATTTCTGTTGTTTACCGCATTTGCTGGAAGATTCCCTTTGAAAAACGAGATCTGAGAGCCCTTGGCCCGCTTGGGGCCGAGGCGAATTCAGTTACGCGGGCAGTGGTGCTTTGACACTCGTTTATTGCATTGAACATGAGCATTTTTTCGCCTCGGTTGCTCATAGGATGTCGAGAAAGTGTGGATGAAGAAGCTACTTTCAAGGCCGCCGCCAGAAGTGCGTCCGATGGGTGTTCTCCTTAGTGCACTTGTTTCCTACTTCTAGCGAACTTGTGGACACTTCAAAGCCAAGGCCTCGACTTTGACAAGTGGGAGGCAGACTTCCCGGACACGCGGATGGTGCGCAAAGGAGCCAAGACGAAACCTCAGAGGTGTAAACCACGCTGGCTTTGAGGATGCAACAAGAGTTGCATGCGCCGGGGTGCTAAGGTTTAGCCTTAGCATGGGTCCAGATGAAGGCAATGAGCCTCTCAGGCGCGCACACCAACATCCGAGCTCTTGCTGAGTATGAGCAGTGCTTGAAGGCTTGTTTGTTGAACCGCAGGTGGGATGTGGTGGATGAAAGCCGAGAAATCGAAGTGGATGATGCGGAAGCAACCTACGTTCGCTGGTTAGCAATTTGCAACCAGGGAAACACTGTCAAGTCATTGTCCTTGAGGCAATTACTGGCAATTTCAACAATTGGGACGACGAGGAGGTGCTTAAAGCGGGCCGGTGCATAGAGCAGCTTTGCGTGATCGCATTGTCTAGGCTGTGCCAATGGAAGATGGTGAGGTTCCTGGAGTTCACAGGACCACCCTCCAGGCCATGCCTGTCATTTGCATTCAATGAGAGCTAGGTGTTTACTGCATGTCTCCAAGGTACCCGCGGGAGGTGAACTGCATTTCCATCTCCTAAAGGGTGGAGATGCCAAACAGGTTGTTGGCAGCATGCTGAGCTTGCAGCTTTGTATCTAGTGGACGTCTTGGGTGATTGTTTGAACTATGAGTTGCATGCCAGCCAGCAAGGTCCTGAGACAGATGACTGCTTGAAAAAGGCAGGTTGCGAGTGTGACAGCATCACTTCGCTTGACTGAGCCATTATTTGCAACAGGGCGCGCGAATTGTGGGGCCGCAGCAGAACTTCAAGAACAAGTGGGCCATGAGCCTATTTGTCGGTCTGTTTGCCACCCCATCCGGGCGTCAATTCGCGTGGCTGTCTGTTTTGCGATTTACCAGTCCGTTTGTTTGCGAGTTTGCCTGCCTACCGGCTTCTTGCATTTCTACATGTGCTTTTGCGCTTGCGCCTAGCAACGATGCTTTTCACAGATCACAAGGGAGTGCAGTAGACATGCGCTGCATTGAGAGACGAGCCTGCCAGTGAGAACGACCGAGGTGGTGCAGGCTCCTGAAGGCAAGGAAGTCCGCATCGAATTCTTCAGCCGTGGAGGTCAGCATCTCATACCGGAGCAATGCTGTCCGAGCTTGATGAATCATGGCAAATATTTGTAATAGAATACTTGTCACTTGCTCTCTCTGCTAGATTGTGAAAGACTTGCTGTGCATGACTCTGTGCCGGGTCAGCTCCTCTTGTGACTCTTTGCTGCTTTTGCGTTTGACGGCCTGAGTTACTTAGAAGCCAGTCCATTCAGGTCGGCGCTCTATTCTTTGGATTGTATCACGAGAAGGTGCCATGCCTTTGGAGACTGGCGATGATGAGCAGCTTGTTGGCAGAAGATTCCTGAGCAATCTTTACATTATTTATCCTTGTTTGCCAGTTTTGTAAGGGCCAGAATGTTGTTGCCCAGGCAGACTTGCATTGCAACCTTTCTTGAGAGTTGAGGTGAGAATCGATAATGTCATTGGACATGCAGCGCCAGCGGACAAAACAGCCTTGGCAGATGGAGCATGCAAAGAGTGGTCCATGCAACTTTAGCTTGCCATTTGCTTGTGAAGAGCAACCACCAAATCCAATGCATGGTCTTGCACGTGCGGCTTGGCCTCAAGAGGCTCAGCGAGTCATGTCCAGAAGGCAAGTAGCCAAGCCATGTTTTGTACTGGCCGAAACTTTATTCTGCGAATGCCAACTGTGTTTTGAACTCAGCCAACTCAGGTCCTGAGCTAGCTAGTCTGAAAACAGGCACAGCCTTTAGCAATACAGGGTGCGTTTTGAAGTATAGGCTTAACCGAAACTTGTAATGATCACCATCATAGTGGCTGATGTTCCTTTTCTCTCTGAGCAATCCCTGGTAATACTGATTCTGGAACGTGCTTTGAATAGAACGGAGTGTTTGCATCCTTGGACTCCACACACAGATTTCAAATGCGATCGTGCTTGCAATGGTGGCAGATGGCAAAGGCAAGCGGGCCAAGTCCAGGTCCCGCTCAAGATCCTGGTCTCAGGGCAAATGCCCGGATTGGGCAACATCTGAGAAGAAAGAGGCAACCAGAGGAGCACCCAGAGTCCAGGCACCTGAAGACTTGCCAGTTTCGGCCTACAAAGAGAACATCATAAACCTGTTGCTGGAGAACCGCATTATAGTTGCTGTCGGCGAGACAGGATCAGGCAAAACTACCCAGATCCCGCAGTACTTGCTCGACTCCGAGAAGTTTCAAGCCCTTTTCGAGAACAAGCGTGGTTTGCGCATTGCCATTACGCAGCCAAGAAGGGTGGCCGCAGTAGCAATGGCCAGGCGTGTGTCAGACGAGCGAGGAACTCGACTTGGAGACATTGTTGGCTACTGCATCCGGTTTGAGGATCAATCGAGTGCAACCACTCGGCTCAGATATATGACGGATGGATGTCTGCTGCGAGAGTGCCTGGGTGACCCGGATCTTGCAAACTATGATGTTGTGATACTGGATGAGGCACATGAGCGCAGCATGCATACAGATGTCCTGTTTGCCCTGATGAAGCGAGCAGTGCAAAATCGTTCCGGACAGCTTCGAATGCTTGTCACCTCAGCCACTTTGGACACAGGCGCTTTCTCCCAGTACTTTGACTGCCCGGTGCTGGAGGTGCCTGGTCGCAGCTTTGCGGTGGACCTTCACTATCATCCGGTCTCCAAGACACAGCGGGTGGAAGCTGCAGTGAATGTCGCATTGAATTTGCATGTTCGTGAAGGACCTGGGCATATTTTGGTATTTCTCACTGGAATGGAGGAGTGTGAGCAAGCAGTTAACTTTGCCAATGCAAAGCTGCAGAGCATGCTGGACAGCGGCAAGGAAGTCTCAGACTGCCTTATCGTGCCTTTGTATGGTATGATGCAGTCAGATGACCAGCGCAATGTGTTCGAAGAAGTTCCAGAAGGGTGTCGAAAGCTAGTATTTTCAACCAACATCGCTGAAACATCGTTGACAGTTGCGGGTGTTGGTTTCGTAGTCGATTGTGGCTACTGCAAGCAAAAGTTCTTCAATCCAAAGACAGGAATGGAGTCACTGCAAGTGACAGAAGTTTCTCAAGTACAAGCGAAGCAGCGAGCTGGTCGTGCAGGTCGAACACAGCATGGCAAGTGTTTCCGGCTGTACTCAGAAGAAACGTTCCATCGCAGTCTTCCAAAAGTCACCGTGCCCGAGATCCTGCGTTCCAATCTGGCATCGGTGTCTCTCCAGATGAAGGCAATGGGCATCGACGATGTTGTCAATTTTGACTTTATGGAACCTCCAGACAGGGTTCGTTTGGTGAAGTCCTTGCGCTTGCTGTACTTGATCGGTGCGTTGGATGCCGATGGGTCCTTGACAGACCTGGGACGCAGAATCTCACAGCTTCCTCTTGAGCCTCAGTATGGGCGGGTCTTGCTCGCTGCCGCCGACTTGCAGTGTGTGTCAGAAGCATTAACGTTGGTGTCTATGCTGAGTTCTGAAGGCATTTGGTACCGACCATCTCGCCAAAATGCAGAGCAGTGGGAAGAGGCCCAGGCCATGCAAGAACGCTTTGTGCATCCACTGGGGGACCACCTGACGCTGGTTCGAATCTACACCATGTGGGAAGACGATGGCTGCAGCCCATCCTGGTGCAAGGAGAACTTCCTGCACTTCCGGGCACTGCGGCAGGCTCGCGACATTCGAGGCCAGCTCTGCGAGCAGCTGGAGAAGGTCTCCGAGGCCAGTGTGCATTGGCTTTTGCTTTCAAGCTTTCACGCTTTGTTCTCGCCGGCAGGCTTCCATACGCCAAGCAGTTCAAGGAAAGCGCGATCGGGAGCGGGACCGTGGCCGTTCTCGAGATCGATCTCGTGACCGAGATCGCCACCGTCAGCGAGACCATGACAGAGGCACACTGGCTTCGGACATCATCTCATGCTGCGTCACTTTTTCCGTCAGGCTAAGCAAATACGGTGAATCTCATCAAACGCCACAACTTGGGGCAAACCATTGAACCATGTTCAGAAGCTTACGGTCCTCGAAAAAGCTTGAAGAAAAAGACATGGTTATCCAGGAGAATAACACGAGCACACAACTCACCCCAAGGGCCTCATGGTGGCAGCGGCATACGGTATGAGACGGCAGTGAGGTGATCCAAAGTCCCAGTTAATCAAAGGGTTCCGGTGGGAAGGGGAGCGGGCAGGGTGGGTGGATCATTGTGGACTGCGCCAAAGCTTGAGCTAGTGGTGTTTCTTGCTGCAAAGGCTTGTTTGCGTGCGTTACCAAGTTGCAAAAGGCGTCAAGCTGCGCAGCAAAGTTGCACGGACAAGCAGTGAGTTTTTCGTGTTTGCCAGCCCGTGAAGAGAACGTAATCCCAAATCACACTTTTCGTGCAACATGGTTGCGAAAGCCAGGTTCAAACCGGACGTCGAAGTCTGGCACTGATGCGGAGCAGGCCTATGTGGTCCTTTTGGGAGAGACCTGGGGGGACTGAATTGCCCGCCGGGGACTTGCATGTTTTTCAATATCCTTTCCAGTTTTTTGCATTGCAACTGACTGCTTGGCCTGAAAGACTTGCAGGCCTTGCTGCAATCTCTTTGTGGCGGCCACAGACAGTAGCAGGGTGTGAGGCAATGGTTTCTTTGGCAGATGGGCGTTTGCATTGGGCTACATTCGCCTGTAGCCTAGGTGCGGGCTTCTACATGCAGACGGCGCGAGCATGTGGAGCTGCTGGCGGTTGGCTGATTGTAGGCCTGGACACAGAGGCGCTTTGCGCATGGAGCGTAGCAGAACGTTTCAGGTGAGAATGTACTGGTCAAATGCGAGTCCAGCAGTGCCATGGATGGTTCGCCTGCAGAGCCGTGCTCCAAGCTGTCTTTGGCAAACCTGCTGCAGTCGCCTCAACTTTACTGTATCATATTGCCCCATGCTTCGATGTGATGAGGTGGGTGCTCTACACGGATTTGGTTGGTAGTACTGTCGCCAATTGCATGATGCGCCTGCTGCTAAGCTCTTCTGCAGCAATGTTTGAAATCAACGTCTAAGCTTCGTCTTTGCATGTTCACCTTGACCACAACCATGCAGGCACCGTGTCAGCTGTGGATCACACATGGCTATCGTCGGAGACTCGTGCTTGTGAGTCGCGAGGCATGTTTGTTGCTCTTTCCGAACTGCTTGTGCATGTTTCTTGGAGTTTGCTGAAACTTACTTGCTTGGATTAGTTTGGCTTCCTCTTGGGCGATATTTGCTGCTTGATGGGGATCACGCTCGACCTTGGCCCTCGGGTTTTCCTTTCCAGGCCATTGTTGCCAAAACTGACTGAAGTGGACATGAAGCGAATTGCCCGGACCTTGAAGTCCTATGATGAATTTGGCTGACGGCCATGCTGATGCGATGCTGTATGCCAACTCGCAGGTAGGCCTGTCTAAGCCCACACAGGCCCAGGCCCAGGACGGGTTGCTCAGCTACGGACAGAAGCTCATGTTGAGCCCATTCTTGCTGCTTCTCTGTGATTGATGAACTGATGCAGGCAGAAGCTCCAAAGGACAGACATCTATTATGGGGACGCACGGGACGCATGACTGGTTGCGAAGCCGGACTTGCCACGGACCTGCCATGAGCCACCGTGCAGTATCAGTATCGTCTGCTTGAAAGCAACGTGCTTCCACTGGCAAGGACGCAGCCCAGACCGTCCAAGAAAGAGAGGACAAGGCTGAGGGCAGTTGTGGTATGGCCTGGCGCGGATCCAGCTTGTGAACAACTCTTGTTTTGCTGTCAGGTGGGCAGTGCGCGTGAGCGATATTTGGCGCGGAAGAACAAGCTTCCTGCAAAGCGGTGAGACCGGGTTGCTGGAAAATAAGCGCCCAGTAGTATTGCGGACTGCATTTTCATGGCATGTCTGTTATTTGGCCAAGTCGCAGCGACCGAGTTGCATGACTGCTCAGCCTTTGGCTAATCGCAGAACATGCATTATGTCATTGCGATCTCTTTTGGGTTGTGCGATTGTGTCTCGGAGCTGTTGCCTTTGAATGGCATGCAGCCCTGCCGATAAATATACAAACTTCTCACTTGACGCAATGTGAAAGAACAAGTCTGAGCTTTTCTTGTATGCTTGAGCAGTAGATCTCCTGGAATTCCCAAAGCTGCAAAATAGGGCACAGGAGCTACAGAGAGTGGCATGCGCCCATATGCCTCCTGGGCCTGCAGGCATTATTGCCGTATCACTGAGATTTCACTGGCGCCCGGGCAGGCTCGTTTATTGGAGGCAGAAGCGGTTGCAGCAGTGGCCACTCGGAGGCAATTTTGTCTCGAGGCGCAAAAACATGGCACCGTGTTTCCCAGCCAAAAGTAAAACAGAACCAAGTGAGCGTTTGCCCTCCGTTGTTGGTGCTTGCTGGGGTTGGTAACTTTTTCTGAGCAGGACCTTATGAAAGATGATAAGCATCATTGTTGTGTTCGTTCTGCTATTCTCATATGTAGAACCCCCCTCCCCACTACCCAAGGTCATACCGGAGGGGTGTGTGTGTGTGGATCATCCTAGTTCACGGATGGAAGGTAAGTTTGAATCTCGATCACATGGAAGTTCACGAAGCTCAATCATGAATCTCGATCACAGGGGGCAGAGGTGCCCATGTCGCTCCCTCTGCCAACGAAGCTGGGTGACATGTGGCAAGGATATGATTCAGGGACGCCTGAATCACGTACCGGTGATCTTATCTTGACCCCGCATTTGGCGCAGAGCCTTTTATGATGTGTTGATTGTTGATTTCAACCTCCCCTGGTTCTCGGATGTTCGTGATCCTCTGTGTTGATTTCCGAAATGCAAATTCTGAAGCTTATGCGACCTTTGTGGCCTTCCACATTCGAAAGTGTCTATCACTCGGCTTTCCGAGATGGTGCCGGGTTTGACGCGTTCCCATGCCCGGCTCCTCGCTGGGGAGAATGATCCTTATTCAGGGCACCAGTTGGTGCTGGACTTCTCTGGTACTCCCTCCCAATTAAAGGCCCTACGTCTCACCTGAAACACCGTTCAGCGCTTACTGTTCATTCAGATTCAGATTCTCGTGTCCCCGTGGCGTCAGGCTGCTGCATGAGGTCTATAGGTTTGTTAGGTTTCGTGTGTTGTCTTCTCCCCAGTCGGGCTCAAAACAAGTCAAGTGATTTGTGATCCTGACGTGCGACACGATGCAGTCCCGACACCGCAAGAGAATGGAATCGGTGATCACTTCGTACACCTTTCCCGGGAGCAATCCAACAGCAGACTTCGGACTACAACAGCGTCCAGGACCTCCGGCGCCCTACATGCCGGCAAGCGCACGATCTGCACTTCCGTACCGCACCAGCCACGGACTTCGGCATCCACCGCCCAACGGCCCCGACTTTCGGCAACCAGGTAGCCAGGACCGACGGAGGCATCGCGCTTCGCGCTCCCGTGGACGTGACCGTCACGACCAACGCCAACATCATTCGCGGCGACTTGACTTTCAGCGGCCTGATCATCGGCGACCTGATTCAGCGACCTGATTCTCAACACCGTGTCCCTGACGTAGACGGCGAAACCTTATCACAACCTTACTCTGGTCATTCGTGGGCATGTGGAATCTCGCCGTCAATCCCATGTCACGGCTCCAGACCTACTGCTCCACCACCCACACACGTAGTGCGTTTTCTGCGTGTTGTTGGCGGCTGCTGCAGGTGAACGTGGCGTTGAAGAGGATGCGGGCGCTGCGGCTCCGGCCCCGCGAGGGGAGCTGTTGTCTGCAGGCAGCAAGGTTGTTGAAGGCTGGTTTGTTTTCGTGGAGTTGCGGGTAATGGGTAAAATGAAAGGGTCTTGCGCCAGACGCCGTGGCAGAAGTTGGCTTCTGCTTCCTTGACCACCAACGTCTTCACACCCATCAACAGTGACCAATCCGACACATTCAATCTTTCCTACACACACACACACACTCGATTACCTCACCCTGCTGCACCGGATCAACAACCTCCTGATCGCACAACGGCAGACGAAGCATTAATCCCCGCCACGCTGAGGAGGAAAACCCAGAGACTTCGTGCTCGTCATCATTGGCTACACCCACTGATGAGTGGTCACCTGATCGCCTACATCGACTGAGAGAATTCAAGACTAATGAACGTGCTCGACCCAGCTACAAAGCGATCGGTCGGAGCTTGAACAAACTTGCCGAAACCGTGAAATCCAAATGGTTTGAGACCAAAGATCTCAGACAATAACTTTTGAACCCCTTCGCGCCGCAAAAAGCGGCGCCTGTGTGTGTGGATGATCCTAGTTGTGCAAGATCATGATGCGTAAGTTTGAATCTCGATCACATGGGAAGTTCACGAAGCTCAATCACGAATCTCGATCGCAGGGGGCAGAGGTGCCCACGTCACCCCCTCTGCCAAGGATACGTACCGGTGATCTTTATCTTGACCATTTGGCGCAGAGCCTTTTATGATGTGTTGATTGTTGATTTCAACCTCCCCTGGTTCTCGGATGTTCGTGATCCTCTGTGTTGATTTCCGAAATGCAAATTCTGAAGCTTATGCGACCTTTGTGACCTTCCACATTCCAGAGTGTGTGTGGAAGTGAAACTCTCCTTGTGTTTCCTGATTTTCTGGGCCGAGATGGATTGTGCAATTGCGGGGGGTGAGGCCCACTGCCGGGGGTACCTATCCCAGAAGGGAACTGGTACCTTGCGGTAGTAGAGGTCGTTTATGTGGTCCCTGGATCTATTCCGGAGAGAGTCCAATATGCCAATAATTATGGATGATTGGAGGATGGATTGTTTTTGGTGGCTTGTGTTGAGCCTGTAAAGCGGTCTGCAAGCCTTTTCTCAATGTACCATGCGTCGGATGACTGTACAATTGAAATAGAAGGGCCTTGAGCCAAATGTTGCAGGAGATCAAGTGTTCAACAAACCAAACAAAAAACAGACACAAATTTCTTTTAATCTCCAGCACTAGATATGAAATATCTTTGGCTTCATGGCCTTGGGCCGTAGCCTTGATTTATGCCGTAGCCATGTGTATTGAAATGCTGGATTCATCCTGTTTTCTGCGCGGATGAAATGTCTTGATTTGCAAAATGGGAAACAGTCTGTACTGATTCTGTGAGACACCTAGATGTATCTAAAAGATGATGTACAACGCTATGTACATGCGGGACGGATGTGAAACTATTGATCTCTCACTGAATAGTCTTGTCGGCGGTGAGGATCCATTCGGTTGAAATTCGTAGTGCCGATTTCGGTGTTCTCTCAGTCGAGCTTCAGAAAAACTTCTTTCCTTGGCGGATCACTCTGACCAAAGGAGGTCGAATGGATGCCAGAGGTGGCAGCTTCATCAGATAGTCAACGGTTCCATCGATAGCTGTTGGCTGCCGTAATCTGCGTAGTCGTACCAGGTCGAGTCGCCGTAACCTTTCCACTGCTTCTGATTGCCCCATTGCTGCTTGTTGTATTCCTTATACTCTTGCTCAGTCCAGGATTGCTTCTTCTTGAAGTGCTCCTTGGATCGCTCATAGTTTCGCTGCTTGGCGGCAGATCTGCTGCGGATATAGACCATCAGCGGACTGTGTGAATCGGAATCTTGAGAGCCATTCATGAACATCTCGTTGTTCACGTGCTTGAAACGTTCCGCGGATGAGACCTGATAGTCGAAAATGGCAGTTGTGGGATCGTTCCGCATGGTGTCCAGTTGATCAGCTTTCAGTGCGTTCATCTCTTCATTCCGGAACTCCTGCTGGATGTTTGTCTTGCCCCATCCAAATACGACAGTCATCAACAAGTCCGCGAACACCTACAGCAAGCTCCAACAGGTCTACAATCCGGCCAACGGTCTCATGAATATCATCATGAAGGCATACCAGAAATTGTGGAATGAAATGGAGAACTTGCCACTCGTGGACAGAACGGAATATGTAATGAGACGTCCTGCGCCCTGAAATCCATCGTCCGTCATCACCTCCACATGAAGACTGGATCTGGTTTTGACCGAACATTCCCATCGACAATGTCACGAGCGGCATGATTTCGGCTTGAAAGTCTTCCCGTGCTGCTCCATGGCTGATTGATGGATGGAAGTGAAAAACTCCAATGGTAGCATCCGGGAGGTCTGCCCTCGTCACATGGCGGCTGTCGAATTCGAGGAGTGGGACACTGGATGACTTTGGAAGTACTCCACGGAATTCATCACATTGCTCGATGTGGATGACGACAATTTGTTTGTTACGCCCGTGTCCTTGGACAAGTGTGCGTGGCGGCAATCTCGGTCCAACGTATTTATTGGATTCCTTGAACATGGATGTTCCGGTGGTTGCCAGGCAGTCATAGGTCGGGATGTCGTATTCGGCATCAGTGCAATGGTTCTTGGTTCCGAAGAAGCATCTGAACATACCGAATGTAGTTCCCCAGTTTTGACTCCTTGTGGAATTGTGTCGTGCCAGTAGTTCCACTCTTGCGGAAGGTCCGCCGCGGACAAAGCATTCGATTGGTCTGGATGACCATTGCTTGATAACAATGCCCTTGTATCCAAACCTGATGAACGTCTTGATGAGTTCCTTGGATTTTTCGTCTTGAGGACTGAGGAATGCGTCTGCTTCATTGAGGCATATGATGTGCGCGCTGTTCTGCATCATCATCTTCATGAGTGGTCGATCCTTCATCGCCATGTTACTCACTTCCTCCTTGTTGTCCAGCTTTGGATTCCTCGTAAGGTTTCCGTGGTTCATGGTGAGCATGTTGATCGTCATGGATGAGGTGAACTCATGTGTCTTGAGATGGTCCACAGGATGACGGTCAGTTGGTTGCATCAGAGATCCCAGGGTCAGCAAACGCCTGGATGACCTCGGGTTTGTCGTATGCCCTGAGCTTCTTCAATCCAAGCGGAAGCTTGATTGGATATCCTGATGCTGGCTGTGCCTTCCTGAACTCGTCCATGGATGGCAATTCTCCTTGGTGGCAGACATAGAATTCTTCTTCCTCGAATCGACATGTGCCAATGAAGCTCGCTCGCATTCTGTCAATTCGGGATGAGCTCTCTGTGGGTTCCTGTTGTACTCCTTCATGAAGTGGGTGAAGTTCTTTTTGGTCTCCTTGAGCTCTTCCTCGGCGTCCTTCTTGGTCATGTCCATTTCAAGGTATATTTCCTTGAACGCCTTAATGGCATTCTTTGTGGATGCCATGCCTTGGATCATGTCGAAGGCATCCGGAAAACGCTCTGCTCAATCGCTCGATTCGCCAGAGGATGATGTCAGTGATCGGTTTTGCCTTGGATGGATCCAGGTGG